GTTTGTCCCCAAGAAGGAAGGAGAGTTTCGTATGTGCATAGACTATAGGGGTTTGAATGCAATTACCGTGAAGAATGCTGAGTCGCTGCCCAGGATAGACGATCTTTTAGATCGGGTGCAGGGTTGCAAGTATTTCTCTAAGATAGACTTAAAGTCCGGATACCATCAGATAGAGGTTCATCCTGATGACCAGTACAAGACTGCGTTCCGGACTCGATACGGGCACTATGAGTTCATAGTAATGCCCTTTGGACTAACCAACGCGCCAGCAACTTTTCAGCATTGTATGAATGACCTGTTTAGACCATGGTTAGATAAGTTTGTAGTAGTTTATTTAGATGATATTCTAGTTTTCAGTAAGACCCTCCGGGAGCACCAGGGTCATCCGAGGCAGGTCTTGGAGAAGCTTAGAGAGGCTAACTTCAAGATCAACGCGAAGAAGTGCGAGTGGGCCAAGACACAAGTCCTGTACTTGGGCCACATATTAGACGGAGATGGCATCAAGCCAAAGGACAGTAAGATAGCGGCGATTAGAGATTGGCCAGCGCCCCACACACTGACAGACTTGCGGTCGTTCCTAGGCTTAGCTAACTACCATAGGAAGTTCGTGAGGAACTTCTCCACTATCGCCGCTCCCTTGCGCAGACTGCTAAAGAAAGAGGCAATATGGCAATGAGACAAAGATTGTACATTTGCGCTAAAGAGACTGAAGCGCGCACTGATAGATTATCCTGTCCTCAAAGTTGCAGATCCGTCTGTGCCTTTTGTCGTCACCACGGACGCAAGTCAGTATGGAATAGGCGCCGTGTTACAGCAGGACGACGGCCATGGCTATAGACCCGTAGAGTTCATGTCCGCGAGGATGCCCTCCGAGAAGGTAGCCACCTCGACGTACGAGAGAGAACTCTACGCTCTCAGGCAGGCTCTAGACCATTGGAAGCATTACATGCTTGGGAGGCACTTCAAAGTATATTTCGACCATGAAACGCTTAGATGGTTAAAGACCCAGGCCAAGATGACACCTAAGTTGACTAGGTGGGCCGCAGAGATAGACCAATTTGACTTTGAGCTTAAGCCAGCGAAGGGCAAGTACAACGTAGTTGCGGATGCTCTAAGTAGGAGATCAGACTACTTTGGAGCCATAGTACATTTTTTGGATATAGGGAGAGACCTACAAGAAAAAGTGAAGCAAGCGTATGCGCAGAACCCTATCTATAGCGACCTCCTAAAGAGAGTTAGAGAGGCCCCAGAGACCGAACCAGATTACCGCACTACAGACGGGTTGCTGTTTGAGAAGACTAATGTGTTTGACCGCCTGTGCGTTCCCAACAACGAAGAGATGCGTAGTTTGATCCTAGGGGAATGTAACGATACAAAGGGACGCTTCGGTTGGCAAAAGACATTAGCCAATCTGATGCGTGCGTACACCTGGCCAGGGATGAAGAATGACTGCATAGAGTATGTCCGCAGTTGTAAAGTGTGCCAGAGGAATAAGACTACTATACGCGCGCCCCTGGGTCTTCTCAGACCCTTACCTATTCCGGATCAGCCGGGAGACTCAGTGTCCATAGATTTCACGGACACCCAAGTCAAGAGTAGATACGGTAAAAGCTAAGTCATGGTCATAGTCGACCGTTTTAGCAAGTATGCGGTTTTTGTCCCTTTGCCTGCAGAGGCACGTACAGATCTAGTGATACAGAAGTTCTTTGACTTTTGGGTTAGCGAGAACGGAATCCCATTGTCAATAGTTAGCGATAGAGATAGTCGCTTCACCAGCCAGAACTGGCAAGAACTCATGAGAGTCTACGGATCTAAGCTGTTGATGTCGTCTGGCCGCCACCCGGAGACTTACGGTCAGACTCAACAGATGAATAAGATCCTACAGCAAGTTCTGCGCATGTATATTAGACCGGATCAGATCAAGTGGGATGAGATGTTACCCAAGGTCGCTAGTGCATACAACAACAGCATGCATCTATCCACCTGCCGTACTCCCAATGAACTGCACAAGTCCTTTAGACCGCGTAGACCATTCGAAGGACTGAACCGGGATCAGATTCACAGACTACCGCTCGGTACCAGGGAGTTTGCGATACAGCACGAAAAAGAATTAGCCACTGTTGTTGAGAACCTCCGCAAAGCCCAGCATAGGATGATAGAACAGGCTAATAAGCATCGTCGCCCATCACAGTTTCAAGTAGGCGACTTAATCTGGGTCAAGGCAAAAGAATTTGCGCCTGAAGAAAACATCTCGCAGAAGTTACTGCCTGCATATAGAGGACCGTGGCCGGTTCTAGAAGTCAAGGGCCACGGTTTTAGAAGTCAAGGGCGGAGAGGATGGACCATCATACACTATAGAGATCCCAGTTCACCTCCACACATATACGGTGTTCCATGCTTCAAAGCTGTTGCCATGTGTTACAAGCCAACAGTTCCCTTCAAGAAGATCCATGATCCCACCGGATATGGATGGGAGCTATGACATAGAGGGCATTGTGGACGAGGATGTGTTTAGGACGGGAGGTAGAGGTCGTCCCCAGAAACAGTATAAAGTCCGGTTTGCCTATCAAGAACCGGAAGACGACCGCTGGTTCACAAAAACAGAACTTCTAGAGACCGCTCCCGACATAGTCAAAGCCTATGAGCGTGACAAGAAAGGTAAAGGTCCCGCTTTGGACTGAAATGTTCTCGGAGGACCTCGAATTTAGGACGGCGGGAGTGAAACGGTTTTCACCTTTTAGCAGTAGCGGATGCAGTACCCAGGGTTCGATCCCTAGACCTCACCCTACCCATGTACAGTATCTGTGTAGACCCCGAGAGTTGAACCTGTGACCTGTGTATTCGTAGACAGTTGGTAGGTCTGTCGTAGGTCCATAGGCAGCAGGGGTTCGATCTGTAGGTCTATAGCGTAGAAGTCTTAGTGAGTTCCGGAAGCTTAGCTGTAGACCTTCTAGAAGGTAGGCAAGTGGGCAAGTGGTCAAGTGGCGAGGCAAGTAGTGGACTAAACTGCAGTGCAATAGCAGTACGACGTCGGTAGGATAGCGGTGAGTCCACAGTCAGTCAGCGGAAGGTCCAGTCAGTCCCAGTCTGGTCCAGCAAGTACCACGGGGGGGACTGTGAGCACCATGGGCCGATGGCAAAGGGCAGACCAACGAGTTTCTGAAGTATAAATCAAGAGGCAGCGCCCAGCCTTTCATTCATTCCTGCCTGAGCCATGCGGAAGCGCTGCCACAGCGACTTGTGCAAGGAGGTATGCAGATGAGCCCGGAGGACATAGTGGGCGAGAGAGGAGTTAGTATAGCGATAGGTTAGAGGCAGCCATAGCTGCCATAGATGTAGTTAGTAGTAAGTGTGTGTGTGCGTGTGATCGAGTGCTCAGAGTGACGTGTATGGGATATCCAAGGTGATCCGGTGTGTGTAAACAGTGAGTTGTTTGGGCGCTGAAGTCGCCATAGCCAGTTGAAAGTGAACCCGTATCTGGAAGCCATATCTCTGAATTTTGTGTGGGCGCATGTCGCCAGTTTGCTGCGTTGCTGTTTACATGCATGAAAAGTGTGTTTGAGAACGAGTCTGATTGCATAATCAACAGAAAAAAATGAAAAAGAAAAAGATCGCTCTTTTTTTTTTTTTTGAAATCTGTAGATTCGAAGAATTAGTGAGGCATCTATCAAAACAAAAAAAGCAAAACAAAAAAGTGAGGCATCTATCAGATAATGAGCAGTGAAAAAAAAACGGATTTCACTCGTAGACACAGAATTTGGAATTTCAAGAAAATGCGATAGTCCAGACTGAGGGAAAATCGTAAAGCTCCGGGAGTGTACGAACTGCCAACTCTTGGTATACAACAGAACTTACGAAAGACCTAATTCTGATGCAAAAAACAAGAATTGTCCTAATCATGAATTGCTGCTTTCGTATTTCCGCGGAACTCACAGAGTGCCGATATTTTCGGAATTTTCGGAATTTGTGGAATTCCGAAATTTGCGGATTTCGCAGAAGACCGCAATTTTCGGAATTCCCGGAATTCGCAGAATTCGCGGATTTTGCGGAATGCTGAAATTTTCGGGATTCCGAAATGCACGGAGTTCGCGGATTTCTCGGATTTCCGAAATTCGCGGATTTGGAAAATGCCAAAAGTGACTTACAACAGCAAAGGAGAGAAAGAAAAAAAAAAGAATTTTCAAAACTTGAATTCGATAATTAGTTGTTAATCTTGATTAGGGTTAGTTTAGCGAATGCTAATTGGGGATTAGCGCTAATTCATGATTAGCGAAAATCCGGGATTAGTGCTTATTAGCGCGAATCAAGGTGACAACTTTCAAAAAAAAAAACAAATCGCAGAATTTGACGAATCCCTACTCAATCGATCAATCAATCAATCAATCAATCAATCAATCAATCAATCAATCAATCAATCAAGTCGGTTCCTTGATTGGCCAGATCCTCTTTCGAGAGGTCCGCTCCGATACCAAACTGTCGCATACCAGGATGGTGCAGACCAGAACCAAGAACCGACCTCTCATAGATAGAGCAAGATAGCACAGCGGAAGACTGGAATACCAATGATCAGACCCACAATCAATGTCGAAATGCAGACTGGACATACATCATCATCATCATCACACGGTGTGAATGGCCTGGCGCCACAAACAAGGACGAAGGCGCCAGGCACAGCTCATACACAGATGAGGAGGGGGAAGAGACGAAGAAGAGTGGGGGAGGAGATGAGAATGTTGTCAGCCCAAATGTCGCTGATATCACTTCCATATAGTCCCCCACAACGTCTCTGTCCAATGTCAAGTCTGAATCCCAATGTCTCCAATCTCTCTCTCTCTCTCTCTCTCTCTCTCTCTCTCTCTCTCTCTCTCTCTCTCTCTC